CGCCGGGAGGAGAGGGAATACCGGGACCCCGCACCGAGAGCAGGGATGGGACACGGGTCCCGCCGGGAGATGAGGGAAGGCCGGAGCTCCACGCCGGGAGGAGAGGGACAGAGCGGCCCCGTCCGAGAGAGCAGTTCCTCGGTAGTCAAGGTGCTCTGTTCGCACCTGGAGACAAAATTTCCCAGCAGAAAATGCAGACAGTGAGGAGCGTCAGCCTTTTCCTCAGCAATCGGGTGTCCCGGTATAAATTTCCACTTCAGGCTCCTCTTTCAGCTCAAGCCTCTGTTTTTACCTTTGTTCTGAAACCTTTGAAGAGACTGAGTTTACCCTGTGCAGCAGCGTTTTGCTGCGGTTGCACTGCGTTTGGGTTGCTTGTGCAATAAGGATTTATTTCTAGCAGTGGTAGAGTTTGGAGCTTGGAGAAATGGGATGGGTTTTGGTAATGTCTCTCAAGGGTGTTAGAGTTTTTTCTCTGTTGTTGGAATATATTTTGAGGTGAGAAATTAGGTTCTTTTTGCAGGTATTTCAGTAATTCACCTATATGATTTCATTGACTTCATGATTAAAATAGTTATGCATATTGTTAATGTACCACGAGCTAAACTTAATCTCTATAAGTTTTGAATCAGTTATAAATATTGGTGAAATTTCAACTCATTCAAAAATCAGTGGCAAAGCTCTGTCTTCAGGGAAGCAAAGGGCTGACTGACAGAATCTGCAAAGGTAAAAAACAGCCATCAGTGACCAATGCCTGTGCCTATGACTTCACAGAGGGGCTGTCATGGTGGTGGCTTCTTTTGTTCTTACATGATTTGGTTTTTTGCAAAAACTCTTAATCTGCAGTCCCCATTTTCTGCTTACTTAATTGTCTTCAAGTACAGACAAAGATAAGAACACATTCTGTCATTATCCTCGAAAGACAAAATTTTCTTTTAAGGAAAAAAAGTGTCTGTTTTGGACTCTGTACAAGTTCATTCTTTCACTGTATCCAGTGCTGAAAAGCGATATGTCCCAAGGAGATCAGCTATTGACCACCCTTACACAGTTAGAAATGTATCTCCCAGCTGTTTCTCAGAGGCCGAGTAGCAAACTTGTGGAAGCACTTCACTGTTGTTACAGAACTTCTTTGATCCAGAAGGAATAAACAGATTTGGTTTGAAATCTTTTTAATAAAGTAAAAATAATTTGCATTCAAAATAGTGCAAGGTATACAATAATGCAAAATAAGTATAAATGAGAAATATTTGTATGCTGTGACAACTGAGCACGTAAATTGGGATATCAAGGCTTGGTGCTGGCTGTGTGACCCACTGAAGACACTTAAACTGTCTCCAGACCATTGGTTTAATTTGTGGAAAAGGTAATTTAACCGATTATTTAGTCAGTGTCATAGTGTATTCTGCCATTGTATGTTTCTAGCTTATATGTGACCCCAGGAAAAGACAGTCTGGGACTTGAGCACACAGTGGTTACCTTGGGCAAAGTTCTAACCAATGGTGGGACTTGGAGAACCACTGCAAGGAGTTTGCCAGTAATTGCCCATGAATGTGCTTAAGTGCATGAATTCACCTAAATGAAAAAGTCAGAAGGCCATGACCAGCTGGTGAATTCCATGAGTGATCTTCCAGTGAAGGTGCCCTTGAGGACACTTTCGCTGCTGTTACCACCAGATGTTCATCAATGTTCACTTTCCAGTATTGTTCCCTAAGACAGGTTTGTCCAGAAAGATGTTGCATTATACAGTGAGGCCTGGAAAAAGGTCCTTGCAAAGAACAAATCCAGAGGTGCTCTGCTCAATTTTGTGTGGCTGTAGTGGATAGGATGAAGGACAGCATGATCTCCACTTAGAGACTTTGAGTTTCTCACTCTGAGTAGGCAACTGTAGGTAGTGCTTATGGCAAGCATTTAGAAGTATGCCATTGTTAAACCTCTTTGGAAGCCTCTGTGGCTGTAACTCACAATGTCAGTAAAGATTAGGTCTCTCCAGAGCTTCAAGTTTGGATGCTGCATTTAGTGTACTGGTGCTGCTGCAGCTATTCAGAGCTGCCCCAGATCGTGTGTTTGGATGGTTTTGGGCATTGCTTTGGAAGTACAGATACAGAGACTGTGCATGAATGAACATTCAGTAGAGAAAGAGAGTTCATAATGTGTCTATAAGCACGGTTGCCTTTATTACCTGTTCCACATTCATCCTTCATCTCATGTTTTTCAGGATGTGATTGAAAAGGAGGTTGGGAAGGCAAAGGCAGATTGTACTTCCTATGCTGGGAAGCATGGACAGACTCATCCTATACACGACAGACAGGTATTGTTAACAAATTCAAGATCATATTAACAAGCATAATGTGCCCTCTCAGCAGAAGCAGCACATGTATAAGAACAGCCTGTTATCTACAGTAACTGATTGATTTATCTTTTTTTTTACTTTTTCAGAGGATAGAGACTGGGAAAACAGCTGATTGTGAGTTTATCTAAAATTAACAGAATTGTCTCTTCAGACAGAGGGTCCAGAATGTGTTTTTGAGGTGAGGAGAGAGACCTAGACCCTGAGAATGTGTGGATACATTTGGCTAGAAGATGAATATGAGAAGTCTGAGAAACAGACATGGAAGTAGTTCATGGAAAAATGAGGCAAGTAAGTCTTGCTTTGAAAAATTTAAATGTTGGGTTCTCTGTTATGGTGGAATTCCTTTAAGGTAAGACAGTCTCAGGTGCTGGAAAGAAGCCTCCAGGGAGGAGGCTGTACCTACATTTCAGAAGGTCACTGACTCTTAAAGGAGAAAGTTGTGGTAGAAGTAGGTCAAACATTACCAGTGGTATTTGAAGTGGGTTTATATGGCACTAGTTTATAATTCAGCTAGTAGCTTTGCTCTGTTCACACTTAGGGTGCTGTATTTTAATACTGAGAGGGATGGATTCCATTGCTCTTATTCATGTTCAGTTGAAGTCAGTGGAACTAATTGTTGAATAAGGTATGCTCAGCATGAGGATGGGTGATGATGGAATCTAGCCCAGATGGAAATATCTTTTCAACTACTGCTGTATTAGAGAGCAGCCATCTCAACGTAGACAAATCTAGCATGTTGCTAAAAGTTCTCTGAGCCATTCTTGTGGCACACTGCAGTGTTTTTATAGATGAATACAGGGGTTGTTTTAAAGTGGTTGTCCCTCCCCAGCAAGGCTGAATCACATTAACAGAAAGAGTGGGAAAGCATCTGCATTGTGACTGTCTCTCCTGTGTTACAGAACCAAGAGAAAGGAGGTGAGCTTTGCAGAATTGCTATTTAATGGCAGCTGTGTATAGTTCACTGAAAGTGTTTCTTTGTGCAGTGTTGTTAGGGTAATGCACTTTTCTGACATTTATTGTCCCTGTGGCATACTCTTCCATCTTGTGCAACTTTCTTAGCTGTAGAAAAATATTGGTGCAGTTTTGTTTACATATACAAAATCTCTTGGGAAAGAGATTCTGCCTGGGTGAACTGAGGAATATAATGGAGATGTGAAGAACCATTTTTAACATTGAACTGAATTTATTTTCAAGCATAATATCACTTTACATAAAAGTGTGACACAGTATTTCAATGAATCAAACCCCAATTGCATTAAAAAAAATCACAAAAAAATACCCCTAGCTGCAGGCAACTAATCTTAGCTCTACTTAGCTCTTCTTAGGTGACCTTGGGAGCCAGGGTACAGAAAGAGAGGCACTCCTGTAGGAAGCGAGTGAAAGGACTTTGGACACCTCTGAACTTTAACCAAGCTGGCTAAGTAAAGGCTTTAGGTGTGAACACTGCCCTAATTCAAAGGCAAAACTAATGAGTGGCCACTCTCTCTGATGCAGTTCTAAGTGTGGGGCTTTTTCACTAGGGTCTTATGCCTCTACTTAGGACCAAATGGGGAATACAAGAAACAGCAAAAGTACCACAGTACTATGGTAATTGAGCTAGCTGAAATAGCAGTCTGTATGATAATTAAAGCAGCCATCCTAGGTTAACTCTGGACAGAGCCTGAGAGCCAGTGTCTTCAGTGACACCTGCAAACTATGCACTAGAACCTATAAAGATCTCATCTAATGAGAACTCCTAACTTCTCTCTCATCTGCTTTCTGAGGATGAGAAAAGCTGACTAACTGTAGAGAAAACCAGCATGTTGTCTTATTCCCACTGTTGAGGAAATGTTTGCATCCTTCATCCTGAAGAAGTATACAGCTAGAAATAGCTGATAAGCAAGTGAATTAGACTGCTTATTTAAATTGCTACTATAGTAGACATAAGACAAAGAAACCTTTGTTTTAAAACAAATCTTTTTAAAGAAAAGTTGGTTATGGTACTAAACTTGTTAGTAATGTAAA